CCCTGATGGGCACTTTGTCCTACTATTGTGCCCTTGGCGACGTGTTCCACGAGCCAGTGACGCAGGTACATCAAGCTGTAAATATCGTGATCGCCCTCTTTGTAGCGGCCGATGAGCAGCCACTTCAGGAGGGCTAGGACTCCGACACGCGCGAATTGCTCCACAAATAGCAGGGCCAACAGAACAAGGAAGGAGATCCACAATGGCACGCAGAAGGACAATGGCAGCAGCAGCCGCTCAGCCACGACCAAACGCGCTGCCACAACCACAGGCTGGGCCTTGCAAGTCAGCAAGGGTAAGGAAACCCAACTCGAGATCTTTGCAGCAAGGTCGACACAGGACAAAATCCTATGCTTGCAAGCATCACAAATCGCAGCACCCTGAACTACGGCACACAGCGCAGGCCAGGAGTTCGGCCCAAAGGATTTCTCTTGCTCCTCGCTGTGACCCAGGAGGTAGCCGGCCCTAAGTTGGTGGAACTTACTGTTGCATGGCGGGTCTAAGGCGAAGCTAGTGTTTGCTGCAACTTCACCATCATGTTGCAAACAAGACGAGGACTAAATCTTCGAATGTCTGGTGAAGTGCCACGGAGCAGAAGCGGGCGCGGGGAGTAACAGGAACCCGGTTTGGGAGTAACGGAAAGCATGTCAGAAGGTCGCAACCGGAACGGGGGATAGTAATAACAGGAACCACCCCGGCACTGTAACAGGAACTGTCCCGGGAAACCCAGCAACCGAAACTAGGCTGGAAGTCTTGGAGGAAATCTTGTCAGGGGGACCGGTTTTCGGTCCCTTTTTTTGACAGGTTCTCACAAGTACGCCTCCCAGTCCACATGACAAGAAACGGATTGACAGCGTGCGAAGTGAAGGACACCATGCTTGCCACGAATTTCTTCAAGTCCCCGGCGCGACGTCGAGCTGCTGGACGTTGCTGGCGTATGCATCTTTTGAATGCCACCTGCGGAAAAATAGCTGCCATGTCCAGCGGCCTGCGTTTGTGTCGTCCCAGTGCATCTGACAGCGCAAGCAAGCAGACCTGTACTCACGTAACACATGTCCCGAAAGCCGTACCCTTTCATTGACCGACCCTTGTTTCTGCACGCGAGGCGCCTCTTGCAGTGAGAAGTTGACGTTGATGTCTCGAGCGGCATACCAATCCCTGATGGTCTTCAACACCGACTTCAACCCGGCATACCAACCCGTGATGGTCTTTAACACCGACTTCAACCCTTCGCCATCTTCCTTGGGTGTCCACGCCATGCCAAGAGGAATCAACTGGGAAGACCAAGCTTGGCGGTCCGCGAAGTGTTTGGTGCTCAGGCCCAGCAAGAAGAGGGCCCAGTTGGCCTTGTTGATTTTCCCAAAACGGTGGGCCACGGCACCTTCGGCTTGGGATGGCTGCTGACAAATCAGAAAAATGCTTGACCCCTCGCGCTGTTTCGAGTCGTTAGAATCTCTTTGTTGGCTTTGGGGTTCAGGTTCCAGATGTCAACAATGCTAAAGTTGCTTTAGAGATCCAGCAGATGTCCCGTGGATGCTGTCCTGAGAAGAAGTCGTCGCACCAGTTGCAAGCGCCGGCGGCAATGGCAGCAATTAGGACCGCCGAAGCTACAAGGCGACCTATGATTCCAGCAGACCTTTTGCAGAAGTGTTCAGCTGTAGGCATCGGAAATTCGGGACCCAGGTTCCTGTAGTGCTACATGACATGGCATGTTGAAGACGTTTAAGAGGGGGACCGGAAAGCCGTCCCTCTCTTGTAAGCCAACAAGAGCAGGCGGAGGCGACAAGAGTCAGTGTGGGAGCTCCCCGCTGGTTCCGGTTACAGGGGGCAGGCCGGTGCTGTTACAGAAACCCGGGTTGCTGTTACGGAATCCCTGCCTGTTCCTGTTATGGGTTCCCGTTACGGTCAACTTGTTCCCGTTCCGGCAATCACTCAGCAGAAGCAAGCAGCCACACGCGGAGACGTAAACTTCGAGGCGATCCGGAGGGGTTAGCAGGCGCATGGTGCGAGGGGGTTGAAATGCAGGCTGCAAGCAGAAATCCCCTAAGGCTTTGTTGTCAGGCTTGCTACATGGCAAACAACATGGTTCAACTAAGGCTGCGTCAAAGGGGACGTGAGAGAGAACGAGGACAGGACCCGATGGGGCTTCCAAGCTTTCGCCGATGCCACGCTCATGGCCGAACTCTGGAGGTCGATTTCGTCCATTCTGGGCAGCGCCGTGGCCCAGGCCACGCCGATGTGCAAGAGCCGGAGATGACTGGGAGCCCAATGAAAAGGTGGCAACTGCCCAGTCAGCTCCTGCCAGAGATGTCTGTGGCGTCTACGAGTCGGCAGCTAGTGGCAGCTAGTGCTGATGCTTTGTCGCGGGGGGGTCCTGCCGGTCCTGCACGCAAACGGCTGACAGCTGCTTCGGCCGTGCGTGCCCGTTCTCCTGAGACCAGTTAGCCGTGAGGGTCTCGAGGTCGCTGGGCTCGCAGGCCAAGATACTCGCACGACTCACACACAGCTTCTGCAAGAGCTCAGCGCTTGGGCTCAGGAACGTGGCCCCAGCATGTAGCGAGCCGAGGAGTGCCGCAAGGCCACCGACACTGCCGGCTTGAAGGCATGAGAGCACCCTGCCAGTGTGGTCCAAATGGAGCTCCTGACAAGCGCGCAAGAGCCTGGTTCTCGTTCAAAGGAGATGGCACAAATCAAAGCTCCTGCTGCCATCCCAAGACCGCCTGCAGTAGCGCTGGCCCTGACGTCGGTTCTGCTCTCAGCCCGTCGCCTTGTAGGGGCTGACACAGTGTTCGCATGCGCTGCGCATGCATCCCTAGGCATCTTATGCCTCATGCCGTGTCAAACTGCCAAGGTGCTCCCTGCGAAAGCGATGCAGCAAGGGCCGGAACTCTTTCGACACCGCCGTTGCCCCGGAGGTGCCGCCGAGGCAGTTACGTCCAGCACCGTACAGCCGACCTGGGCGCGACCAGAAGCTACTAGCAGAAGGCGCTGCAACAAATGCCTTAAATTTATGACAATCTGCTCCTGGCACAGTTTAAATGGCCTGCTGAATAAGTAATTTTTGCAGAATTTTTGCAGATTTTTTGCAAATGGAATTTTTGTTGCAGATTTGTTGCAGATGGAGTTTTTGCATATTTTGCAGATTTTTTGCAGAATATTTGCAGAGTTTTTGCATATTTGTTTTTGATTTTTTGCGATTGTTGCTGGTGCTTTCCTGTTTTCTTCATATGTGCCGATATGCATTTATAAGTTAGTAGTTACTTTCCCAAGCGCAGAATGGGGAGTCTGGCTCCATACCCTTCACGGGGCTTCCCTTGAAAGTAGGGGTGCGGGGCAGGAGGGCATCACCCACAAACCCACCATGCACAAGGCTGGGACGGCTGGGAGTGCGAAACACAATAAATTACCAAATTCCTACACCAAATAAAATGCTGAAAAAGGACGAACACACAGGGCGACGGAGGTCCGAAGACCCTTAGACTCTGTTTAGGGTTTAGGGTTTCGGGCCTTAGACTTTGAACCAGCCACCCGACGGCAAACCCAGACCCAAACCACAAACTCCGGAATCCTACACCGGCCAAAAGCCATGGTTGTAATCGGGCGGTTCGGTTGATACCGATACGTATGCGGTATTTAGCGGTTTATGTGTTGCCAGTATTGCGGAGTTTCGGTTCGGTTCGGTAGCG